CTGGTGAAAAGTTTTGAGACACCTTAACATTCTAAGATGCTATAAAGTTCTCTCTCTCTCTCTCTCTCTCTCTCTCTCTCAGATAGTGCACCTCGATATTGAAATGACTTTTGTTTTGATCTTTAAAAGGGCAGGTGTTCTGATATTAAAATATTCCTTTCTGAATTATCTGAAACAGCACAGAGATGTAGAAGAACTTTTGATCCATATGATCTCATCCTTCTATAATTAGTACTGTACTGTCTTCTCATCACATCATCAAGCAGTTTCTTATATGAGTGCAGTATCTTACCTTTTCTAATAACCCATTCCAGATGTTGGTACCTTCTGTGTATAAATATAGTACTTCCCAGTTGTTGTTCAAACCAGTCCTGCATCCTTGTCCTGTATCCTTGGTGTATCTAAAAGTAGTTAGTGCATGATATGGAGAACTTCCTAATCTGTTCAGTACTTGAATCTCAGTTATAATAATCAATACTCATTTCAATCAGCTATTAGGTCAAAACAAGGTGATTTCCTGCCGAGTATGGGCACTGGTGCTCAGAACAGCGCAACCTTCTGCCTTTAGGTGGCACTGGATTCTCAGTAATACTATAGTTTTTACTGTGCAAGGGTTCCCCTACTTACATCATATCAAAATGGGTCATGGTTTCATGGAATAGAGATAATTCAAACTCAAAATCCAAGTCGCTGTAGTTTTTACACCGACAGTGATGGACAAACAAATGCACATTCAGTCATGATGTCCAATCCCACAGCACAGTCTTTCTGAAAAGGGTAAACATTGGCAGTGTCTTTCATCTCCTTCAATGTTAGGTATAATTGAGTTACTGTGATAGATTTGCAGAGTATAGGAACTGATTGTAAGCAGAACAAAACCAGCCTGACAAGGAAGATGATTCAATAAAATGACTGTATTGTATAAATTATATTATTACTGTTATAGTTGGTTCAGCCATCCATTAAATGTAACATCTTGAGTCATGTTTCTCTTTCATCTTGCAATGTTAGTGAATATGTATGAATAACAATTTGGCCTCTCTCACAACTATCATTAGCTAATGGAAGATGTAGTCCATTTGGCGATATTGCCTCAATCATATAATCCAGTGGGTGGTAAACTATTGCTTCATTAGACACTAAGGTTAGGTTTTAGTATTTTTCAGAGGGTCTCAATGCTAACTCAGGCCATTTGGAGGAAGTAGTCGCACTGTAGCATTATCTATTTATTCACCAGGAAACAAAGGGTCTGAAAAGTGGGGTGAGGCTTGGCATTGGTGTATGATTATTTAGACCCTAATTGCTGGTGTGGAAGTGAGGAAAGGCGTCACACAGAGATGGGTATTAAACAACCATTCTCTCCTCTTGCCTCCTGCCTCCCCCACCCACCCACGCCCTATTATTTCCATAATCTGTAGTCTACTGAAAACTTCTATCATTAACTATTAATACTATTTGTGTTTGAAATGGCAAATGTAAAATGTATTATTGATGCCCTGTTAATTGGTTGGTTTAATGTGCAAGCTCCCTCAATTATGTGGTCGGTCACAGGCTATAACATTGGCAAACGTGAAGCTTGCCAGAATACCAAGGTGACTTTAACACATAAGTAATTCATCTATTTCCCTGTATTATCGAAAATACTGGAAGTACATACAGTGGTGTATTAATAAGAGTTTTTCTGCCCCCATCTCTCCATAGAGGCAGTGAGAGGAGCTTAAAATGCAGCTCTCTAGAGCTAAATAGCATTAACTATTCATTCTCATGCTATTAATTTGCAACAGCGATGTGATTACAACATAATTCTAAATGTTCTACTCCGAAGGAAAACTGAGAATAAAATGTGCTGGTTGTCACTGAGGTCTTGTAGTTTTCATGGTCGTGCTCTTGACTCATAAATCTTGATGGTTCACTTCAAAAGATTTCCACTGAATGCCCATTGTACACCCTGGGCAGTCAGTGCAGATGTTGGGCTAAGGCTAAATACTCACCCCATATTTTACTTATAGCTCTACCTCTTAAACAATGTATAGAGATACAGACAGAAAAATAAAACACAACTGGATTAGCAATTGCATAAAACGAGAAGTAATCAAATGCAAAAGAATAACCGAACATTTTAATTTCCCTGTATTTTACAGTGAATTCTGTGAATATTTGAGATAATAATAATAATACGTGCATTTGATGTACTGCCTTATCATGTCATTGAGATGGCTCAACGCACTTTTTAGGATGTTACTTTGTCCTTTGAATTGAAAGGCGCTATAACAAATGAAAAAGATTATTATTAGGATAATTAAAATAAACTGAAAGACTAAAGATAATGTGCAAAGGGAAGCTATTAATTAAAAGCTGTCTGTTTACAGAGGCGTCTAAATCTTGAGGAGAAATTATATGCATGAATGCAACAATTGGTAAATAAGACAGAGGATAGATCTTCCTAGTGAAAGATAATGAAGCTGTATTGCTGATAACGTTTATGCAGTGCAAATGGTCTGTCGTTGAACAAGGGAGAGGGGAATCTCTAGGTCAGAGGTGGTTTTCATTTAAACATTCAGTTGCAACCCTTTCTAAAGCTCCACTGCCTTCTGTTCCCATAGGAGTGTGACAACAGAAATAGATCAGGTGCCAATGCAAGATTCACACCTCAGCCTGTTGCCCTTGGTGAAACTCCTCCTCCACAGTGCAGCACTTAGTAATTCTGAGCGTGAAGACAGCTTTCAACGCGTAAAATAATGAATAAAATACTGCACAGAAGCATACGAAGTAAGAAAGGCAGCTGCCCACAACACTTCTTAATCCCTAGGCCCCTATTGGTGTTTTGATATGAGAGGCTGAATATCCACACCTCTTTATTTCTAGGCCTCGATCAGTACCAATGCATATGAAAGGAGCAGGGCAACTTCCTCTTAATGTGAGAGAGATTGGACATGCTTTCCATGTTTGCCTTCAAAATACAGTCAATTTCTCTGTAATTCTTCTGAAGTGCTTGAGATGTCCTCTCGACATGAATGGACTGATGTCAATAATAATTTAAAAAACTCTTGATGCCTTCAGCATCAAGAAGCATTCTAGTTGTTGTCCCAGCTGATTTTACCAACTATACCACAAGGTGGACCCCTCAAGAGATTCCTTCTTAGGTTTCAGCTTGTTAACCATGGGCATGATACTAAGAGTAACTTTATTACTGTAAATTTAATGAAATAGTAATAAAGAAATTGACGAGTTTTACTTTGTTTTGCCCATTATTTTCTTAAACCTTTTCTCTCTTCCTTCAATATTTGCTACCTTGATTTTCATTTTATTTCTTACCATTATTCCATGTTTTAAATTTCATTGTGCGTCAGCCTGGCACAATGGGCACATTCTTGACTCGAAGGTTGTGGATTAAAGCGGCATATCGAGACTTGGAATCACAGAGTCTAAGATGATGTTACAATACAGTGCTGGGGAGTGGGGGGTGGGTGTTGCACTATCGGAGGTACCTACTTTCAGATGAGACGTAAACTGAGGCCCTGTCTACCTATTCAGGTGGATATTAAAGATCCCATGGTACTATTTAAAAAAGAGAAAAAAGTTTCTCCCAGTTTCCTGGTCAACAACCCCCCAAATAAAACTCACTCACTCCATGGCTCTTTGCGGGACATTACTATGTGCAATTGGCTGTCGCGTTTTTCCCACAAAATGCACACTCAATTCACTTTACAATGTATAATGTGAAGTGCTTTGAGACGTCTCAATGACGAGATAAGGTGCTATATCAAATGCAAGGGTTATGTACCTTATTATTGTACCTTAATTGTAACCACCAAGGCATTGCTGCTCCCCCACCCCCCACCCACCGAGTGTGACATACAAAAGTCAGCAACTGGGAAATACATAAGTAAAAATATCAACTCTTGATTGACCATTTTCCTGGCCAGCCAGGTCAGTGTCCTTTAATCTTTGACCTTCTTGTTGAAGATGATTGAATAATTAAACTTTTTAATGTTTTCTTTTGGCAGCTGAAAGAAAAATTGCAGGACGTGACTTTGGACCTTTAACTAGAGCTGGAACAACTGTACAACCGATCAACACGGAATGATCACCTGATGCTTAGTTAAGCATCAGCACTGATTAGCTGACCATAGGAACATAGGAACAGGAGTAGGCCATTCAGCCATTCAAGTTTGTTTTGCCATTCAATTAGATCATGGCTGATCTGTACCCCAACTCATCCTTTCAATTCCAATTTCCCGCTTTTTTCCCATATCCCTTAATACCCTGACCTACCAAACCTACCAGTTCATCTGAGTTTTCAGAGAATAGCTGGTCCACAAGCAACATGCTCAAGACTCCTTTCCCGACCTGTAGTTTGCCAGCTGCAGCTGAGAGTGAGTTTTGATCATTTTATAATAGCTTTATATTAAACAGTGACTCACCACAAAAGTGCAGGATAATGTGGGACAATGCGGTGCTGAGATTGTCTTGAGAAAGCATAAATAATAATAATCCTTGTATTTGACATTGTTGAGATACCTCAAAGCCCTTCACAGGATGTACTGTTAAGTGGGCTTTTTTTAATGCAATGAAAGGCAGGAAGCATGGAATAGCTATTACTTTGCTTCCAGCAGTATAAATCGGGTATTAGGTTGAAGCCATTGGGTTGGAATTCGGTGTTACCTCAGATATGCCTTACTTTTCATATCGCTTGTACATTCTGGGTTTGATGGTGATATCTATCCTGCAATCATGTGGAGGGAAGAGCTGGGAAGTCCGGGAGCTGAGAGTTAGTGACAAAAGCTGTTCATGTCGGGGGGAAAAGTCAAGACAAGAAGTGTATACAGCTGGGGAATTCAGACTCAGCTGAATCTATGCAGCAAAATATCAACCATATCTTTCTCTGCATGGTTTGGACTATCTCATTTCAGCACATGGTTAAAAAAAACCAGTAATATTTCTGCAAAATCTGCCCATCATGCATAAATGGTATCAGCCACCTAATAGTACTCATGATATTAGACTTTGGAATGGACGTTTATTAGATATTTTAAATAGGATTTTATAACATTCCCAATTTCACACCGTAACTTACAAAGTATGAAACGTGGATACCAGAGGTAAGTGGAAAAATATAAGGGTTGACAATAATAAAACTAAGTAGGCTACGTTAACTGGAAACACAATTTTGGCCTTGGTTTAGCTGGTTATAAATACTTTCAACATCTAAAAATAGTAAAACGTTCTTTAGTACACAGTTAAATTAATATATCACTCTCTAAACCTTTTAATAAAGGCAACTAGAACTTGGCTTTTATGATTAGGCACAAGGTTTTCTTTAATTTTTTAATTCTTTAATTGAAACAAAAAAAAGACCGTGCTTGAAAAATAAAATTATCCTATTTGGTCTGTTAAGAATTTTCTTTTAAAAACTAATATTTGTTGAGTATTCTGCTTATGAGTAGAATTCATAAAAATCTGGTCCATAATCTGGTGCATAATTATATTCTACACAAAAGCTGATAAAAGTCAATTCAGAAATCTTATCTTGAGTACATGAGTAATATACAGTAAAACTCACATACGTCTGACCTGTGTAAATCATATCATTGCCCATGTTCCGTTCAAGAGTTTATATTCTATGCAAGTTTGGCATAACTCAGACTTTGCAAAAACCATATTAAATGTATGGTCCCAACTGATATGATTTATGTGAGGTTTACTGTAATTGTATTAAATACACAAGTACCATTAATGAAACAAAAAAGGGGATTTGGTTGACATTTGCATTTTAGATTACACTGGGTAATAAGAGTTTACTTGTTAGGTGATTTCTTTTTTGAACAAAACCTTGTGCCACTGTGACCTAAGCTACAACGAGCTTACTTAAAACTTCACAATCATCTTACAGTGTGATGTGCACAGTATTTAGGACTTGGAGGATTTATATACAATTATCACAAAGCATCTATCTTTCCAGATTCTCCTCCCCCTCCTTCTGACTTCTGTGTTGTCAAACCACTGCAACCAAATTGCTAACTTTCATTTCCTTCTTGGAGCACCTGAAAATAAAAATAAAGAGGATTATTTTCAAAACATAAATAAAGTGGTCTCTGGAAAAAGTTCCCAGCTTTCTAAGCCACGTTTATACTGTACAATTTCAGTGATTTGACATGAAAGCCTCATGGAATCAATGCAAACTGTGCAAAAGAAGAAAAGACAAGAGCAGAATGTAAAAATGTGTGACCACTTTACAGTTGTGTGGCAGAGAAAGGTTTCCAGAGAAAGGGCATATACGACAGCCAATTACAAGGAAAGTGCAAAGAAATTGGTAGATTGAGAGAGAGAAACAAGATTATAAGAGGGAAAAACAAGATAATCATCCTTACATTTGATATAATGCTTATCACGTCATAGAGGCAAGTCAAAGAGCTTTGCACAATATTTTTTGTGACGTGTAGTGACACGTTAGTGAGAAGTAGGGATGTGAAGAAAACTCTTTCATGTGAACATGTGTTATTCTAGCTATGTTTCCATTGCTCACTGTACAAAGCATTCTTATTTTGAAATTAACAACCACAACAACAACAAATTACATTTGTATAGCACCTTTCACGTCGAGAGAATGTCCCAAGGCACTGGACAGTCAGGGATTTGGACCCGAGCAGGGGATTGGGATTGGAGAGGTGGAGGGCAGGGATGGTAGGGGTAGGAGAGTGGCCAAAGGCTCGGTCGAAGAGGAGGGTCTTGAGACATGCCTTGAAGGAGGCAAGGGAGGAAAGTTGACCCCATGTCTGCGGATGATATCACCAAGGTGGACCATGTACATGTTGAAGAGGAGGGGACCAAGGACAGAGCCTTGAGGAACGCCGCATGAGACAGTGCGGGAGCTGGAGGAGAAACCGTTTGTGGAGACAAAGTGGAGATGGTGAGAAAGGTAGATCTGAACCAGTCAAGGAGACAACCATGAAGATTGAGGTGAGAGGAGAGGCGGTGGAGGAGGATAGAGTGGTCAACTGTGTCAAAGGTGGCAGAGAGCTCAAGGAGGACGAGGAGACAGAAGGAGCGCTGGTCACAGATGGACAAAATGTCATTTGTCACTTTGACCAGGGCTGTTTCTGTACTGTGGGCAGCACGGAAATATGATTGGAGGGGTTCGTGGGAGTGCTGGGAGAGGAAGGATCGAAGCTGGGAAACAACAACTTGTTCTCCAGGACCTTAGAAAGGAAAGGTAGTTTAGAGCTGAGACGGTAACTAGAGATTGTAAATTAAGATGACAATGGGAGGTTATTCTGCTATCTCTGTGTTAATCCCCATTGATCATTGGATGTCAAAAGATTGATTGTAATTAAGAGAATGGAGAGTTCCAGTGCTTCAACCTGAGAAATCTGAGCATCTGCAATTAAGTAAAAGTGAATCCCCTGACCTAGGACATATGATTTTGTTGAGCTTGTTGCTGTTGCTGCTGCTGTTGCTGCTGGATCAGAAGCTGCTGCTGCTGTCTACGCCGGGCTGTGCGCAGCTTCTCAAAACGGGCCTCCATCTCCTCCAGCACTTTGGGAGTGTAACGGACCACAAGTTTCACACTGTTCTGTGCAGCTTTCAGCAATTCCACCGCTTTTTCATGGTGCTCTCCCTCCACACTCTACGAAAGAGATATAAATATACTTCATCTTGTGCATTATTACACCAAGGCCAAGGAAATCTCATGCCCCTCCACTCCCAAATTGTAACCCAGGAAACGTGCAATTATTATCTCAAGAGCCCAAAGGCTGTACCCACTGGACTAATGGATGGAAAACAAATTGTCATTTAATGACATGTAATGGAGCAGTTCCCAAGGAGACAGGCTTCCCTGTGGCTGTACACATGCACAATGGGTACGGTTCCCACAGAGCAGCAAGAATCAAGACACAGTAAAAACAGACAGTTTATGTACTTTAAGTGACCAGAGTATGACAGATCTCATGATAATCAGCAGTAAATGCACAAAATCAATTCTGAGTACAATTTTTGATTTTTTTTGTCCTTCATCCTGAAAGCTGCAAATATGATTCCATGCTGAAAATGAATACTCAAATTGAGATTGATTGAGGTTCAATAACGTACCACTCCGTTGACAGAAAGCAACTGGTCACCACGCTTCAGTCCTCCATGTCTATCCGCAACACCTCCAGGAATAATACGGGAGATGTAGATTGGTGAATTTTGCTCTTTTCCACCCATTACGTTAAAGCCGAGGCCTTCTTCGGTCTTTGGTAATTCTATGACTCGTGGATGAGAATGGCCTTCACTTGCAGCAAAAGCAGCAACAGTAGCCTGGATCGAAGGAACAAATGGACTGCTCTAAAATCAAAGGCTACATAATTCAAATTAGCATGATTTTTTTAATATGACAGTTCATTATTGTCGTTGCAATATGGCTAAAAATAAACTTCCTACAAAACCTACATCTTGTTTTGCTTTTTACATTATCACTATTTATGTTTTAAAGAGCAATACAAGCCTGAGATTATATTTATCAACTAACAACCTTGTCAAATCAAAAAACAAAAGGCACAGTTGCGCTATACCTAGCTTTAGCAAAGTTTTCATCCCTCCCTTTTTATGGGATTTGTATTATAACCATAAACCAAATGCTTTGCTACAGATAATTCACACTCTAACCTAAGGATAAAGAAGACCTTAGAGAAATCAAGATTAATGACTTCTTTTTAAAAACTCCAGAGTTAGATATGTATAGATTTATAAAAACAATCCTTGCATTTGATGTGAAGCCTTATCATGTCAGTGAACGCCTCAAAGAGCTTCAAAGGACTTATTGTGAAGTGTACTGACTGTATTTTTAGGCAAATGCGGAAGCCAATATGCGCACAACAATGTCCTTTAAAGTTTGAAGAATTATTTAACTTCTGAGAAATACAGATATTTTTTCATCCCATTTAAAAAAAAATTCAAAATCTGAAAAGACGTAAAAGTGGTAAAATGAAAGCAAAGATTTTTGGACAGAAAATTGAAGTATTTCAATGTTACTCTGCAGCAATGTACTCAAAGATTTATAGAAAACTGTCTGAGTGAATAGAACAATAGTACGGCAGTAGAGACACTGAGGAATCGCTCAACAAGAATTTATAGTAAAGGAAGCTTTTGCACCATTGTTATCTGATGGATGAATAGTTCACCATGGAATGGTCAGAAGGTGAGTAAATTCCACAGATTTTATTAGCAGGCATGTGTACATTTTATCCTTTGTAAATGGATTTTGTGTATGTTTTCTTCCTGCATTCAATAATGTTTCTAATACAATGCAGCCCATCTGTCTTTGTGTCTGCAACTCATATTTATGACTGTTGTTGTGTTCATTCATATAAGTACAATTTGGTTAAGTTTTACATTAATTTCTTTCCCCAAATGGTCTATTGTATAAATACACACCATGGTACTAAGCCAGTGAGTCACAGGTTTACCCTTTATCACTTTTCAGTTTCTCATGCTAGAATGCGAGTGTGTGTGGATGTGGTGACAACACGATTAAACTCAACAGTGAGGACACTCACAGTCAACTAGCCTGCTGACATTCACCATCAAGCTTAAAGAATGGTTACTTGAACAAGTCTGTTATAGAAGAGGGTTGTGTCTACTGATGATTGAGTCAAGTTTTAGTGAGGACAAACGAATGGACATCCACTATCATTGTGCACTAATACTAAGGTCATTATAATCTGCATTATAATACAAAGGTTATTGAAGATGTGTCAAACTAAGGTTGTTTCACAAATTTTAGCTTAAATTTAGAGTTGAAATCTAAACAGACTTTAGTCACAAGCAGGGAAGTGTAACATGCATAACATGGTACTTATGAACTGTTATGTAATTCATGCCATTGCTAATGGTAATCACACCGATTACCAATAGGAACATTGTTACAGTACTTGTACAGCTAGAAGCATCCTAACCAGCAGGCTTCGGTATGCAAGACATGTCTTCACCCCTAAATCTCACTGATGAGTCAAAGAGGATGGTCAACAATCAACAATGCCTTGGATTACTGGCTAGCTTTGCCTTAGAGCTTATTCAATTCCATAGATTCAGTGATATATCTGATATGTGTCCAAAACTTCATGCATATAAGCTTCGTATATAGAGTATAAGTTTCTCTAAATTTAAGTTAAAATGTTTTAACACATTCAATCCTTTTTTTTATAATATCTTTGAACTGAAGGAGATGCATTATTTACTTTGCGCCCATTAGAATTAATGGTAATCATTTTCTTTTCAACAGTGAAAACATTAAACAAAAATATATGAACAACAAGCATAAAAAGATAAGACAAAGAGGTTACATAGTATAACCAAAGAAATGTCTGGAAAGCCCAGAAGTGACCAGATAATTTTTTTTGCTGCATCTGAAGACATTAAGTGACATTTGCTGTCCTGCCATTGAGCTGTCAAACAGCAAGGCATCATGCATTACTTTGTATCTGCTATATTGCAAAGCAGTTAGTGCAATTTGTAATGAAAGGAATTTGTTAAATTGATCAGAATAGATCAGTGTGAACACTGACTCTGATTAATATTACCTGGGTAGTAGCACTGGCTCTACCTTCTGGGCTGCCATTGATGTCTAAATTTTCATATATACTCTCGAACACCTGAAATACACATGTACACAACATTACAATATACAGTTACAACAGATAAGCCATCCAATAATTCCACACATCATACCTTAGCAGTCGCATGAGCTCTGAATTCGGGACAGCCATTGATGGTTATTGTTTCATGCATGTACTGATAAACCTGAAAAATTAGTGGCAAATCAGACAGGAAAAGAAATGCTCACAACTCCACACTACAAATGTCTTGCAAATGACATCTTTAAGAAGCTGTGTTTCTTATTTTTGTGTTCAGTTTTCCTTCATCCCTCCTGAAGGAACGTGCTTGAAAATAATTTATGATTAGATAATTTGGATAACCAATACCCTCATCCAAGAAGTTCTGGCTATAGGTAGGAATTCTGCCAAATTCTATATATAAATATTATTTCACGTTAGACTGACAAATTAGAGAACACAGCCCCTTTAAGGTAGATATTTACTACAAATCTATAAACCCAAGTTACTTAGTCTAGAGAATAGGTTAGTATAATTGCTTTAGTAGTAAAATTATTCACACATACTGTCACATATTTTCACATCTGGCATACTTTTAACTGTATTTCTCCAGAAGTTTAAAAAAAAGCATGACTTTGTTCCATGAACCTTTATGGACATTCTGGTGCATAGAATAAGTGAGCTAACCTGTTTCAATGGGATCACGTGTAACATTCTGCATTGTGATTCTATATGAAAGGGCAGATCTGGTACTGTTCTGAATAAAGAAACCCTGATGTGCTACTGCATTTGCATAAATATGTTTTTCACTTATTTTCCATACCTTAGACCTGACTTTCAGACTGGCTCTGAGATTGTGCCAAATTAACATAATATTGTAATATGCATCCTTGCAGGAATTGGGAGAGAGGTCTGAGATAGGATACAACTTGCTGCTTCAGGAACAGTTAAAGCATTGGAGAAAATAATTCTTTATTGAAAGGAATCATCTAATTCCTTTCAATAAAGAATTGCATCATCTAAATGCAAGGATTATTATTATTATCTGATTAACTGTTGAATCCCAATTTGTTTAGGGTAAGCCTCCGCATCCGCCATTTTTTTAAGCCTCCATTAAACTTCATCCTTCTTTTGTCATTGATACGCAGGTTTGCAAAATTTATCATAAAGTGGCACAGGGAAAACTGCAAAACTCAAAACATCTGAAACTCAGTTAAGCAACAGCTTTGGTGCAGACCTATCTCCTGCAATTGGCTACAACCAACTAACAAACAAAACCGAATTTTCTAAATCTGGATGGAGGGAGGAAAGGAGGTAGGGAGGAGGAGAAATGTGGCATGTAATGTGTGAGAATTATCACCAGTGATAATTGTCATATATTATATTTTCCCCTTGTGGTTCTAAGACATTCCACAATATTATTTGCACAAAAAAGCCCCCGACAAATGGTTTAGAGCTAGCAGCAACATGACTGATGGGCAGATGGACTGGAGATTGCAAAGATATAACACACAGTGGATTTTGATCTTCCCAGTAATCACAGCAGATTATTTATCTGCAAACCTCCAGTATTGATGTCACTGCCATTAATCCTCTTGTGTGAAAGTCACCTCACATCAAGGGCAATGGAGCAACAGTTGCTGTTAATGGGAAAAATGACATTAAACAGAACAGTTCCTATAAAATTGGAAGAGTGCGTAGATGTAAATTACAGCGGGCGCAAGGGAGTGCATTTAAGTCTCTAACCTAGTCTCAGAAATCAAATAAGAGTTAGAATCCACTTGAGCTCTGCTTTTGTGCTTTATGGTGTCAACTGAGTGCCTTGATTATATTATTATCCTGTAAATTGCTTCAGGCATCGGTCGGTTATCTGTCTACTACAGGAACACACAAATCAGTAAAGCACCACAGAAAATAAAATGACGTAAATGCAATGTCTATCAGGGGATTTTCAATGCCATTTTCAGTATTTACACTCTTTCTTCTAACACATTCTAATTCTTGTCAGTGCTAGCAATAAAACAGGCCATTTGCTCCTTGCTCCTTCTGGCTGCTTTTTGAAAATAATAATGAAGAAAAAACACTGATTCTGATATAAAGTAGAACCTTCTCATGTCAAAATGTCTCGATGTGCTTCACACAATCACAAGAGAGAGGTTTGGGTGGAAATCTCATTCTTCCTGAATAACAACATTATGGCATCAAGCTATTTCTTAATTGAGCGTGCTGTCCCATGAGCCTCAACCACCCTTACTGGAAATCTATTCCGGCTGTTGATTTCCTCTCTGTGTAAAGTAATACTTTATGGTGTCTATCATAAACATGCCTTTCACATCCAAGAATCTAATCCATCTTATTCAGTTGCATTGATAAATCAATGTATTATTTTATGCCTGCTTTTTCGGGGCTGAAGGAGCTTTGCTATTATGAGAGGCTGGATAGATTGGGGTTATATTGCTTAGACAAAGGAGAGTAAGGGGTGATTTGATTGAGGTATTTAACATAATGAAAATAATTGATCTGGTAGAGGGATCTATTTCAAGATGGCAAAGTCTTAAAATCAGGACTAAGACTATTGGTACTGAGGCCAGAGAGCATTTCTTCACACAGAGCGAGACATGCCCCAGAAAGCTATAAAACTCAAACCACAGAGATGTTCAAAGGACAGATACTTATGTGGATACCCATGCAACATGAGAAAGTGCATAAATTTGCTGCTGCAGTTGTCCACAGCATACATAGTCATTATACTTTCCAGTGTATCCCGTGAAGCGCTTTGAGGCATCCTCCCCACGTGAGAGGGGCTTTATCAAATGTAAGACTTATTAAATGATGTCCATGACATCCTTACAAATCAGCAATTGATTTTTTTGTAATTCAAATAATACAAAATATTTTTAAAAAATGCTTAATGATAGGAATTAATTTCCCTCGATTTGGAGAAAAGTCGAAAACTTGACCAATGCTGATTTTTACTGATTAAAATAAAAAACACAGGAAGTCTATCCTTGAGGTACAATGAACATTTTTGCTGGGGGTTGGTGAACATGCTGTGGAGCAGGGAAGACTCCACATGTGGGATGGATTATTATCCTGAAGTTTTCAATTGCCTTTGGGAAGTGTCTATGCAAAACTTTCCCTGGAGATAGAATAGAACTGAAGTACATAGTGGAATAGGTTTGTGTGGTCTGTGAAAGAATCTGATTTGATGTGGTTCTATGGCTTTTCTTGTGCTCCTCTGTAGAGTGCAGCATAGACAGTCAATTAATACTTATGCATTGTATTTGTTGAGTATTTAATACCAATACTCCTCATTTTCAGTTGAGCTGTACAATTTTCTACACTGTAGGTAGCCACAATCGTGTCACATATAATGGATCCCAGTTGCTAAGTTGCACGTAGTAAAGATTTCACGATGATTTATTTCATGTCATATTTTTGTTGAAATGGTTGTCAGGTTTTCACCTTTAGGCATCTCTGAAATGAATGTACTTTGCTGTCAGCTGTGACTAAATGTCTCTGTGAGAGCACTGTGCAGTAAATATCAATCCATTTTTACGTTGTGGGGTTATGTAATCTTTCGTTTTGCTTTTTTGTTGCTCTTAAATTCAAATGGTGTCATAGGTTACATAAATTCTAAATGATAATATTTAGGCAAGTTCAGGGAATACTGGGCAACAGAATACATCGAAAATAAGGATGAGAAATTGCCTCTGGATTTCCTGTAAGTAAACTACAAGGCAGACCTTCAGGTATCAGAAATGGTTAGAAAACAGTCGATCTAAAGCAGTTATTGATTTAAGGATCAAGATTACTGCAAGAAAGTAGAAGCACATCTGTTTCAAAGCAATTCTGAACAAAGCCACATATAATCCTTGTCCTCATTTTATCCATCTTAAAATCTTAAACTGATTTTACTCCCTTCCCCCATCCACAGACGATGGACAGTGCAGATTGACCTCTTGTCTGTGTGTTGGGGATTGGAATGAAGGAAAGGACTTTACTTAATCTTCTAATAGAACCCTATTAGAGAACAAGACTAGACTGCCATGAGGCTTGAAGGAGTTATGGGGAATACAGCAAAGTGATGGGAATGAATGAATATCTTGCTCCAAGAGCATTGCAAAATTAATGGTCCAAATGGCCTCATTCTATACTGTAAATTTCTATGATTCTATATATTCCCCCTCAGTGAACAAATCTTAAGCACATCACTGCATATCGCCACTTGAAATACTCTGTATAGTTCATAAGTACAGCAGTGACGACCTTGTTTTGGAGAAGACATCATTTCAATGTACAGGTGTCTATGAAGGTTGGAGTGATTGAACTATGAAGCTTATTGTAAATCAAGTAGCTGAGATGGTAGATATGAGTGGGGAGGTCACTTGAAGTAGTTTATATTCTTGGTAAGTTTCTAGTAGAAGGCAACATCATTGTTATTGTTCAGAATGGTTGATTTTTCCTAACGTCTGCCAAAAAGTTTGCAATGTATGCTTGAAGCTATTCCATCTGCAGGCTGCTGTTCCCCTCCACTTCAGTGGAAGCTGTCTATTCTGAGAGCCATTGTTGAAAGCGTTGATCTGCTTGGTAGTTGGGAAAGGGAGTAGATGAGAGGAAGCCAATAGTTCTAAGCATCATTTGTCTTACAGATCAGCTGCACAAAAAACAAAGTACATCTGTAGCTGTAAGTCTCAAATCTGATCTACTATTCTTTAGTGCATTAAATGATAATTTCTGGAGTGCAGTGACTTTTTATCAATTGTAGCCTGGCCTATTAGCTTTACTTCCGATCTCCTCTCAAGTTTAGTGACCAAAGTGTGGGATGCTACACTTTGTGCAAAAAATACGCCTGGCATCTCAAGATCTCATAAGAGGTGATTTCACACAGTACAGTTTTGTGTAAGATAGAGAAATCTATGGGTGAATAGCAGAATTAGCTGAAAAGAAAAAATGTATTATAATTAAAAAGATATGTTCCCTATTGTACCTGGTATCCAAATCGCCATGCTATTTCTTTTTAATTCAGCCTGTAGTTTAATAGTTAGGAGCCATGAATTAACACTGTTCTTAAAGCAATTTAAATCGATGGGAATCATAAAGTAACCCTGGTCCACAGCTGACATTAATAACAATCATTAACGTTTTTATGATGATAACGTGACATTTTAATGCTGCAAAACCTAT